CAAAAATTGACATTTTTAGACTGATTTATCTCAGCAATGGATGAATTTATCAGGGTTCTCTCAACAGGGTTCGAAAGATCTTTGAAAATATAAAAAATCATTTGCTGGCAGCGGCAGTGTATGATGTACAACAAACATCCTATTTTAAAAATCAATATTTCCTATGTATTTTAGTTTTCTAGGTAAAGGTGTAAAACAATAAGATTGATGTAATTAAGTGCCAAATTAATTACATAGAAAATACTGATTTTTAAAATAGAATGTTTGTTGTACATCATACACTGTTTTTGCGTTGAACTTAATGGCGGTGAATGAGATGGATGGGTGCGACGGGTTGTCCTCAAATGGCAACCAAAATAATTTGCACGAATGTGGTAATGAAAATACAATGACTGATACCCAGGACATGGATAATATAGAAATGATTTCGGAACCAATGACTCGGAACAACAGTAACAACAGTGCCAACAGTACGGAACAACAGCCACCAACTGATGAGTCCGTTCAGAGATCACTGTCCATTAACTATGAAGATCAAGGCTTGTATGACATTTCATTTAATAAATCGTACAGTAATATAATTGCATAGATTATCACACTTTTCTAAATTATAATAATAACTATGAATTAATATGAAGTATTTAATAAAATATATTCATAAGTAAAATTTTATTCAATGTCATGTTTATATGGCTGATGGGTGTTATATTCTAAAATATTCCGCATTTGCTTAACTCTGAACAACAATTACTAATAAATAGCAAGCAAAATATACTGTATGTATAACTCACTTGATATATATATTCAGTTAAACAATTACGGATTATTTTGAAATAAAATTGACTGACCAACAGTTCACTATTTCAGTGGGCAGTTAACTATTTGAGATTCACTGGTTACTGTATTGTATAGTGTATTTCATATGATATTTTATGATATTTTGCTAGTTTGTACAATTCTTAAAAACCATATATTAAATTTACATTCTAAAACATGTAAAAATACAGTATAGTCTATATTATAGACGAACTTATGTTCTTTTTCACCAAAGTCATTTTCACCGGCCTGTTGAATACTGTACTGTTTATAGCGAATTATTTAAAACATTTTCCGGTCACTTTCTGATTCCTTACTTAAAATACTGCATGTAATTAGTAATTACAATGTATATTTTTACAATCGACAGACTATTTCATTAAATATAATTTCGAATAAGATATTAACAATGAAATATGTTTTCTATCAATAGTTACGAACAAACTTTCGATCAAATATCATTCCAAGGAAAGGGTGGATTTGGGAGTGTATATAAAGTCAGAGACAAAACTACAGATGAAATATATGCCATCAAATTAATCCCATTTAAAGGTATTCATTGTCGTGATATGAGATTTTAAAATGAAATGACATGGAATAATTTCTTTCTAAGATTTCGACGAAGAGGATACTATAAAAACTTTGAGAGAAATGCAAAATTTGGTGAAAGTTAAGTCACAATATGTTGTCGATTGGTATCAGTCATGGCGTGAAGCCGGACTCCTATTTATTCAAATGGAGTTTTGTTCACAGAATTTAATGGATATTCTTAAAGATAAACCACAAGTATTTAGCCGAAAATCAGGAGATCTAATGAATTTAGTCGAGTATTTCATTTCGTGTGAAATATTGCGACAAATCTTAGAAAGTGTTCAGTATTTGCATGAATTGAATCCACAGATCATTCACAGAGACTTCAAACCCGATAATATATTGATTGCTGATATAATAAGGAACGGAAGGTTTATTAAGTTATGCGACTTTGGTTTGGCTACAGTTCACGAGAACAGTATTCACAATAAAACTAAATACAAACACACGACAGACACGAGAGACTATAGATATATGGCGCCCGAAAATCTTCAGGGTAAAAAATATAACCACAAAACCGATTTTTATAGTGTGGCACTAATTGGTGGTGAATTGTTTGACATCGTGGTCCACACTATTGACGATAACAGGTATTTAATAATTAAATACTGTATGTATATTTACTACTTATTTTATTATAGCTCACTGGCATACTCATCAAATAGCAAGCAATACTTAACAGTGTCAAATTTATATAAATTATTATATGGGATGATTACACCCAATTGGAATAATAGGCCCGAATGTAGAAAAGTGATGGATAGATATAGCGAGTGGTCTATTGATAAGAATATTCTGATAAATGATAAGATATACAAGGTCATATTAAATAAGCTCGAGGCTTATGATTCATAAGTTATGAAAATAAATTTTTCCATCAATTCTTATCGACTGTTACACAACATAATGAGTCAATGGTTACTAATAATGACAATTACCGTACGATAACTCATATGGGAATAGACGACAACCCCTGACCCTACACTATTGGCGTGGATTTAAAAGTCATAAACGCGTCAATACTTCGATCCGGGAGTTCCCGATACTTTTTCATGGACTCCCAGCCCAGAGGGCGAGCCATAGTGTTTGTGACCACAGATGGTCTGATGGATGAGGCGGACAGATGGGCGTCCATTTTCAAAAAACTAGACTTCCAGTACGCTGTGTATCGGGACGCCACTTGCATTCAGATAAGGGATGTGCTGGAGGTTATGCGGAATAAGCCATTCGACGCCAACGCCCTGTTTGTGATGTTTATTGGCGGCGGATATAATGAAAATATCTGCGGATATGATAATAGACCCCACAATGAGATGTCGTTCACAGATATTGTGGACATATTTTCCGACACTAATTGTGTGTCTCTGCGAAACAAACCGAAAATATTTGTTTTCAACACTTTCTCTATTGGTTTGTATTTGTATTTAATTATAATTTGGGTTTTTATTTATAAACTAAAATTGACATTTATTTCCATAACAGGAAATCCTAACAAACAGTTGGAAACGGATCAAGAGATTGAAAAACATATACATTTGAATTATAATAATCCCCACACTTATGTCATTTACACACACTCTAAATGTATGTCGGGTTAATTTAATAATAATGTTTATAAGAGATTAATTATCTTAATATGATTTAATTGAATTCACTTTAGCTATGGATTCGTGGCGTAATCCCACAGAAGATATTACACTATTTGGACAGGCATTCAGTTATACGATCGCACATAGGGTGACCAGATCCAAAAACTTGAATACTTGAATGTTAACTCAAAAATACTTGAAAATACTTGACATTAAAATTTTATTTAACTTTTAACGGCAAATATTTTCAGTAAGCGGTAAATTAACAAAATTTAGATAACTAACAGTTTAATTATGCACTTATAACCAGTATTTGAATTAATATATGTATTTTTATGTGAATCCATATGTTATTAATATATAGTACAGTTAGATCGAAAGAGTGCTTATTATACTAGTTACAATTATGAGATATTTTTTGTAACTCATTCAATACTTAAAATAATGCCCTGATTATTATATGAAATAAAATTAATGTTCAAAAGTATTGTACTAATAAAACTAAAATAAGTATATTTTGCTTAAGACAATTAAATTATAATCATATTTTTACTTTGGTAGTAAAAATAAATATGTAATACATATTAAATTGCAGTTTTATATGGAAAATGATTTAAATTATTGTTTGATATTTGTATTTTGAAAATTTTATTTAATATATAATTAAGTCAAGTATTTATATTACATGAAGTGATATAATATTTTATTTTAAAAATAATTTTATTAAAAATTAACTTTAATTATAGCAAATTTTCAAACACTTGACATTATAATGTCAAGTATTACCTCTTCCCTTGATACTTGACAGGACCCTCAAATACTTGAATGTCAAGGTAAAATACTTGACAATGGGCAGTCTAATCGCACAGTATGCCTGTAATAAACCCTTTTACCAATTAGTTGAAATGGTATATTATATTATAATATTATTTTATTAATAATATTAATAAAATTTATTTTAACTTTTAAATAGACAAGAAAACGACTGGCAACTGAGCATGGTGTTCGTAAACATCCAAAAATTATTATGACCGAATTGGAAATGACACGAGATATATATTTTAATCCGGGTCTCTATAAGAGACAAACAAATGTCAATTAATAAATGAATGTAGTATAGTATTAACTTGATAAAGTATATTGTAAATTATATGATTGGCTCAAATATGAATTATTCAAAGTAAATGCATAAGGAGTTATAAAAATAATATTTCTCATTTCAATTCTGTAATAAGTTTTATATAATTCTATAAAACTGTTTAAAATTATTTACAAAATTCTTTTACTTTATTCCAAAGCAAAGAATCACTGATTGTTTGGCGTATTTAAAGATCGATCGATCGATAAGTGATATTGAATTCAAGTTAACATTAAATTGACTTAAAACTAATTTAGTTGAACTGCAACTTAGATTACACGTATCCATTTAATTGAGTTTCATACTGTTTTTTGATGTGCCAAATAAATTATAATTATTATAACTAAACATTTTGCTTGATATATTTAGAATTAACAATTTTTAATATTATTAAACAATTTGTTGAAAAACTAGTATTTACGGTTACTTCACTCAAGTGATTAATATCATAAATAAAAATAATCTCTCACTCTCTCCCTCTCTCTCTCTCTCTCTCTCCCTCTCTCTCTCCTGATATTAAATATAAATATAATAAACGAAAAATGAAACAAATTTTATGATCTTTGTTATCATTAACGTTGACTTTTTTTATGATCATTGCTTAAATAAAAATGGTGTCTCACCTAAACACAAATACTGCATGAATTTAATTAAACAATAATTAATTGAAATGTAAGTAAAGTTATGTTGAAAATTAAATATAATTAATGCTTAATTTTAAGTTTAATGCTTATAGTGGGATGTCGTCCACTCAGCCAATGGATTCAAACAATCAAATGCCACAACCGATTGCTACCCCTTCGACGTGTATCTCATACAACCAAACATTCGTTGAGATATCATTGCAAGGAAAGGGTGGGTTTGGGACGGTATATAAAGTGAAGCACAAATTGACTGGTCAGATATCTGCCATTAAAAAGATCGAATTAAAAGGTATTCTTAATGAGATTATAATTAAGACAATACTATCATTCAGACTATTTATTCAGACTCCGATGCAAATACTTTGAAAGAAGTGGAAAATTTAGTGAAAGTGAGGTCACCATATTGTGTCAAATACTATCAGTCATGGCGTGAACCGGACTTTATGTGCATTCAAATGGAATTCTGTTCACAGAATTTAAAGGATATTCTTAAAGATAAACCACAAGTATTTGGCCGACAATCGGGAGATCTAATGAATTTAGTCGAGTATTTCATTTCGTGTGAAATATTGCGACAAATCTTAGAAAGTGTTCAGTATTTGCATGAATTGAATCCACAGATCATTCATAGAGACCTCAAACCCGATAATATATTGATTGCTGATATAATAAGGAACGGAAGGTTTATTAAGTTATGCGACTTTGGTTTGGCTACAGTTCACGAGAACAGTATTCACAATAAAACTAAATACAAACACACGCCAGACGCGGGAGACTATAGATATATGGCGCCCGAAAATCTTCAGGGTAAAAAATATAACCACAAAACCGATATTTATAGTGTGGCACTAATTGGAGGTGAATTGTTTGACGTCGAAGTTCATACTATTGACGATAACAGGTATTTAATAATTAGATACTGTATGTATATTTAGTAATTATTTTATTATAGGTCATTGGCATACTCATCAAATTATATGCAATACTTAGCAGTGTCAAATTTATATAAACTATTATATGGGATGATTACACCCAATTGGAATAATAGGCCCGAATGTTGTGAAGTGATGGATAGATATAGCGAGTGGTCTATTGATAAGAATATTGTGATAAATGATAAGATATACAAGGTCATATTAAATAAGATCGAGACTTATGAAAATAAATTTTTCCGTCAATTCTTATCAACTGTTATACCACATAATGAGTCAATTATTGGTCAAAACTGTAGTAAAGACATGATATCCACTCAATCAAACTTATCGGACACACTTGCTATAAACAATGTGTCATTAACAGAGTTCCTGGATGTAACTGGATTAGACCCAGAGATTAATATCACTCCCTGGCCATACACCTTTGACAATGATTTACAAGTAAATAAGGCAACAATACTGCGATCCGGGGGTTCCCGATACTTCTCTATGGACTCCAATCCCAGGGGTCGGGCTATTGTTTTTGTGACCGTCGATGGCTTGGACGTCGAGATAATGAGATGGAAATCCATTTTCGAACAGTTAGGCTTCCAATACGAGGTGTATCGAGAGGCCCCGTTCTCTCAGATAAGGGATGTGCTGTTGGGGGTGTCGTGTCAGCGGTTTGACGCCGACGCCCTTTTTATCATGTTTATCGGCGGCCTATATAACGGTAAACTCCGCGGGAGTGGCGACCGATCGGACAATGAGATGTCGGTCACGGAAATTGTGGACATGTTTTGCGAAAGCAATTGTGTGTCACTTAGAAATAAACCAAAAATGTTTGTTTTCAACACTTGCCGCATGAGTACGGATGTGGGAAAGGGTGGCCAACATATAGAAAGTGATATACAAATGGAAAATTTGCGCAAAAATGTCAATCAGCGCACCTATGTCATTTATGCGCTCTCTAAATGTATGTATTTTAATTTACATGAGTCTTATGAGATGTAAATTAATGTAATTTATTTGAATACAATTTAGCTGTGAATTCATGGCTTAATCACGCGGAGGGTATAACACTATTTGGACAGGCATTCAGTTATACAATAGCGCAGTACGCTTGTAACATGCATCTCACTGATTTGGTTAACCTGGTATGTTATATATTTGAATTACAGTATTTATATTATTATTGTTTCGTTTATTAAATGAAAATATTATTTGGAAATTTAATAGACACGTAAACGACTGGCGTATGAGCAGGGTGATAGTGACCCGCAAATAGTAATGGACTCCGTAGACATATTGAGACAGATATATTTCAATCCGGGTCTTTATAAGAGACAAATAAATTTCAATTAAAAAATTTATATTATTATACAATGTAGGTGTTTACAGTTAGGAATTTTAGTGTACGGTTAGGTACGTACGGATTTGAATAGACCTTATAAATTGAGCTATTTTTATTGATAATCTCTCAACTCCTTTATTTACTGTGAATGCTTATTTTAAAAATATTCATTTTATTAGTGATTAAAATTAACTGTAATGGATGGATTTATTTCGAAAGTAACAAGTTTTGAATAGAGATTATTACCCTGTTTGACGTGAGATAGTGCGTCCCGGCGTATAGTGCGCTTTCTATATTTACCACAAAACTATTTTTTTACTCAGATAATGCGCACCCGCCGTATAGTGCGCACAGATTTTATATGAATATACACAGGTATTAATGACTATAAATTAAGAGATTTAGGGTAAATTCTTATTTTAAATGTTTAGGCATAAGCTTAACACAAGATTTAGATAAGACAAAAGAATTTAAAAGTTTAAATAATTTAATTCAAAATTTATTTAGTCAGTTTGTGCTAATACTCACAACGTTATTTAACACATTTACTCAAATTAATGTGTTTTTAATTTATAAAGTTGTTTAAGTAATGCAAGTTTGATTTAATTCTTTGATTCTATTAATTTAAACTTATTTAAAATAAACATAATTTTAATTGAAATTATTTTTCTCAGATAATGCGCACCCATCGTATAGTGCGCCCTATACTTTTTCCCAAAAAATCACTTTTTAAACAGATAGTGCGGCGCACTATCTCATGTCAAACAGGGTAAATATTATTTATTAAATAAAAATAACTCGATTTATATGGTCTATTCATTCCTAATTTTACAGTAATAAAAGTATAATTAGATATTTTAAGGCTTAAGTCAGTCTTAAAAATTAATTAAATTTATCAAATGTAACTATAATAACTATTTTAAATTGTAAAGTTATATAACTGTCTGCAATATAATAATGTAAATGAGAGGACAGTCTACATGTAAAACACAAATCTTGATCTCATTGTGAACTTGACTTTCAATCTTTTAAGGCTTAAAATTTAAGCTTTGATTACTATAAATGATTTGTACTTTTGATTGTCGCTTTTTTATGTTATATTACATACAGATATATACACTAAAATAGTATGTTTACTATAACATATGTACACTTTTTAATTATATCATAACTAAATATACCTGTATTACTATTTCTGTATAACTAAATATACTATTATAATAGAATATATACAGTATAATGTATGCCTTTAATGTTTTAATAAAATTTAAAATATCAAATAGTTTAATTTTAATAATGTTTTGAATAGAAAACTTTATTTATAATTCAGAAATCTAGTAAATAGTATATTTTGCGTTTAAATATCTTATTTGTGTTTCTTTTCAATGAGTTTATATAAATACCGTATAAATACTATGCTCTCTCTCTCTCTCTCTCTCTCTCCCCCAAAGGATTTCCTCACAGTCTCTGACGTAGTGAACGAACGAACGAAACAAACGTATGAATGATATGTAGAAAACATGTTAAACACTATTTGCAGACTAACTATGCGTTCAGTAAACTATGGAATGTCTGTGAGAGAGGACTGCATTCGTGTTGTGTCTCATATTTACAACTCTTTTTAAATGTGTTTTGTATACAGTATTCATTTGATTTACTTATAATTTTACCATCTATTAACTAATCATTGGTTTAAAGTTTAGACTCTAAAATGTAAGTAACTTTATTTGTTAACTAGAAAAAAGTTTTTCAAACTTTTTCTAACTTTATATACAGTAATACAGTAAAACTTTTTTGACAATACTGTATGATACGTTATTTTAATCTTAAACCTTTTCCATATATAAATAACTAATTGTATTGTAATGTTATAATTGTTATATGATTTTAATACAAGTCATTTGCATGGTTATTTAATTCTGCATAATTATATTTAAAATGTATTATTACATCCAAATTTTCATAATTTATGACTTGTTTATAATATATACAGAAGTGATGTCAGAATATCGTGTATGTTATGTTTGTGGCGGCAATAACAGGGATAACCCGGCACTTAGACTTGGTACTGTAAATATAAATAGCATATTTATAATATTTCATTTAATTATTTATATTTATTTAATATTTGGATAAATAGGCGAGAATTATGTGCGAAAAGGGAGCGGTGTATACACGTGTGAAAAGGACAGGCAATGGTTTTATAAAAATGCTAAATTACCGGTAAATTCTGTTATATTCATATTTAATACTAAACTAAATTTACCCTTTAGCTATTAATTTATACATTATATTATATTTTATGAAAATAATAGAAAGTTTGTCCAAAAGGGGAAATGGATGTAAACGCTACGGAAAATTGTGATATAAGTTTGTGCCCGGCCTGTAAGCTACACAAGTGTTACAGAATAGGATTGAAACTCGTAAGCTAGGTCAGTTTGATTGAGACTATAAATAATTAGCTTATATTATATCATACATAGAAATCACAAAACATCGCCAGTCATACTACTAATGGCTATCATTTGCCAGAATTTCAATCAATACAATTGGCAAATTGCAGTGTTGGCAATGACCAGGGTCAGCAATCAGCCATAACTATGCTAACTATTAATGGAGACCCGGCTCATGCATACATTCAGCCCAATAATCCGATTGCAAATAATGGCTACAATTTTGCCGTAAATTCAAACTTAACACCGACTGTGGGTCCAAACAACCAGATACTACAACCAGTTGCCGGTCCTTCGACTACAGTTCCTTCATATACCACTATTTTGGGCTCAAATCCAGAAAGTGTTAATACGGGAAATGATTTATTAGCGGAACTGATAGATATGGCGGACATTGAGATGATATCTACTGACGAAATGGTAGACAAAGGGATAGAGAATCTGAATCGCAATCAAGACTTCACTCAACAATCACCGCAAACATCAGTTCATAATACTATGGCAGTTGATCAGTCGGCAACTTCTGGATCCACTCAAACCATTGCACACAATAATACAATTGCGAGACAAACAGACACTTCCATTGATGACACCATCGATGATATGATATTTACATTTGCAAACAATATTAACCTCGGATTGGTTTCCA